AAATACCAGTGCCATCAGGAGGTCCACCAGTGGGGCCAGGACATTAGAAGCCCTCCCACTGTTGACCCCCCCAAGCACCAAGATGACAGAGCATCACTTGCCCCAGAGTCCCTATCTATACCTTGTGGCTAATAGCCACTGATGTGCATTTAGGAATCAACGCACACTGCCCAGGTGCCAGCTGAAGACAGCCGGCACTGCAGTGAGGAATACAAACTTCCCCCTGATACTGGTGCTTGAATCCACGAGAAAATCGATGGGATGGCAGGTTACACCAAATAGTGTAATAGAAGCAGTAACCCACAAATACTTCTGGGAGGATTCCCATTTCCCCCTTCCCTCACGATTTCCTCTTTCCTGTTCCAGAACCCCCCATAACCCCTCCCCTTTCCCCCCACTGCCTTCTCTTCTTCTAGGGTTGCCAAACTCCAGGTGGGACCTGAAGATCTGGAACTGCAACAGGACTCCCAACTACAGAGATCAGTTCTCCCAGTTAGGGTTGTCAGCTCCAGGTTGGGACATTCCTGGAGATTTGGGGGGTGGAGCCTAGGGAGGGCAAGGTTTGGGGATGAAAGCAACCTCAGCAGGGTACAATGCCACAGAGTCCACCCTCCAACAAAGCCATTTTCTCCAGGAGAACTGATCTCTGTCATCTGGCGAACAGCTGTAACTCTGGGGGATCTCCAGCCCTCACCTGGAGGTTTGCAACCCTTGTTCCCCTGAAGGAAATGGCTGCTCTGGAGAGTGATACCCCTCTGAGATCCCTCCTCTCCTCAAACCCCCACCCTCCCCAGGTTCCACCCCAAATCTCTAGGAATTTCCTAACCCAGAGTTGACACCCTTATCTCCTGCCCACCTCTCCCCTTCGCTTGCCTTATTTTCTCCTTTTTAGCCATTCACCAACCTACCTCTTATCTGCATCCTGTCTTTAGCTGCATTTATTATTTATTTATACCCCACCTCTCTCCACAGTAGGGACCAAAGCAGCTTACATTATTTCCCTCTTCTCCTTTTTATCCACCCAAGAAACCTGGAAAGTAGGATAGGCTCAACATATGTGACTTGTCCAAAATCACCCAGTGAGCTTCCACAGCAAGACGGGGATTCGAACCTTTACCTCCCAGGCCCTACTCTGATGCTCTGACTGCTACATTACACTAGCTTTCATTGGGCGGCTGCAAACAGCAGCAAACAGCCATGCCCAGTTGAGTCATGCAAATCGGGTGGTATCAAGTCACCCAGAGGTTGTTGCCAGGCCTGGGGTTGCCACCCTCAAGGTGGTACCTGGAGATTCCCCAGGATTACAACTGAACACCAGATGACAGTGATCTGTCCCGATGGAGAAAATGACTGCTTTTAAGGGTGGACTCCATGGCATTATATCTAGCTGAGGCCTCTCCCCTCCCCAAATCCTGCCCTCCTCAAAGTCCATCACAAAATCTCCAGGAATTTCTCAACCTGGAGCTGGCAACCCTAGGCCTGGCCCCAATGAGTACTCCCTCAAAGGTCAAAATAGGCCTAGAAATGACCCTGCCCTCTCTCCCTGCCTTTTACTCACTGAAACCCAGCCTTGGAACTCTGTGGTTGCCTAGCAACAGTTACTCAGGGGATCTGTTGCTTAAAGCTACAAGCACTCCTTTTATCATTTTTGTAGTTTTTAAACTGCTTGATGTATTTTTTTAGATTTCACATTTTCCTGCAAACCTGGGGCTGTTTTCAGGATTGTAGAAAGATCTGAACGCCAGCCTATCTTGGAAGAGGCATGACGCCATTTTCTCCCTTATGTACAAAAATTTCTATCCCCCCTCCCAATATCCAAGGGAACTAGGGCTGCCAAGCCACGGCAGGGGATCCACACGTCTTCACAGGATCCCTGCCGCGGGGGACACCAATACGCGTTGCACCGCCGTCGCCAGGATGTGACGCGTAACGTCACATCCTGGCGACGGCGGTGCAACGCGTATTGGTGTCCCCCGCGGCAGGGATCCTGTGAAGACATGCAGATCCCCCGCCGCGGCTTGGCAGCCCTAACCCATTGCCATTGTAACCCTAAAATGAGAAGCACAACAGAGTAGCAGTGGCAGAGGGGTGTCTAACGGTCCGGCTAAGGGAGAAAGGGTCCCTATTCCTCACATAGCTGCTTTCTAACAACACCTTTTCTGGATCTGTTTCCTTTCTCCTAGGATTGCTACATCTTAGACCAGTGTGGTGTAAGGATCTATGTATGGAAGGGCAGGAGCTCTAGCAAGGAAGAGAAGCAGCAAGCCATGACACGGGCTCTGGTGAGTGAGAGCATGGCAGCAGAGCATGGAGGCACTGTCTTTTGCCTTGGGGTGGAGGAAAAGCTCGGCCTATTCAGAGAGCCAGTTTGGTGTAGTGGTTTTAAGTGCACAGACTCTAATCTGGGAGGACCGGGTTTGATTCCCCACTCCTCCAGTTGCACCTGGCTGGATGTCCTTGGGCAAGCCGTAGTTCTGACAAGAGCTGTTCTTGGAAAAGAGCAGTTTCTGTCAAGAGCTCTCTCAGCCCCACCTACTTCACAGGGTGCCTGTTGTGGGGAGGGGAAGGGAAAGGAGTTTGTAAGCCGCTCTGAGACACCTTTGGGTAGTGAAGGGTCGGGTATAAACCCAATCTCTTCGTCTTCTTCTTTTACCTCACAGGGTGTCTGTTGTGGGGAGGGGAAGGGACAGGAGTTTGTCAGCCGCTCTGAGACTCCTTTGGGTAGTGAAGGGCGGGGTATAAAGCCAATCTCTTCTTCTTCTTCTGTACTTGGCAAGGAACAATTGCAGGACAACAGAACCTTTTGGAGATTTGGGGGCAGTCCCTGCCTTCCTTACAGTCTGTTGCCTCTAAAAGGGACATCATGCTTCTAGGTCCTTCGTGTGAATTTATTTGGATCAGGGTATTAATGTGAAAATGTCAAAGGCTATTATTGCCCAATGAGTTTAGCAGCCTCCGCCCCCCAAAGTCACCAGTGAACAGGTTTTACAATTTTGAATTGCTTGGGTCAATTTCCTGACAGACAGATATAGGATAGTTAGTGTGACGATCCCTTAACTGGGGAGGTCTGGTTTTACTTTAAAATTGTTCTTTATGTTTTGTTCAACTGGGTATATGGGTGCCACCAGGAAATTTAAGGCTTTCCAAACCTTTATAATATAATATTTTTAGCACTGGGTAGGTAGGTCGAGGTTTTAGGCTTTCATGGGGGTCTATGTGTTTCCTGAGAAATTATTTCTTTCAGAGCTAGCAGACTTAAATAAAGAAGATTTATTGATATAATTCGTAAATAACAGGATAGTACTTTGTATCTAGGAATGGGTAAATACTGAACAATTCCAACTGGGTTTTCACACACTTTTCTCTCTCACTGTCAGAGATTTTGGCATGTAACTTTGTAACACTAACTCAAGGTCATGTAAGTTCACTGTTTCTCCAGTCACTCAGACTTTTATTTTTCTCTTTGACTTTACTTTCTTGTTTCATATACATTCAACCTTTCTTCATATACAGAACTAACTCATAAGCACACAAAACTGCTTCTCTCTTCTTTCATACTCAGAGCTTAACTGAACTCCTGTTTCCCTCACAGAACTCAGAACTTAACTACCCCCTAACTGTCTTTATCAACTGTCTAAACTGTAACTCTTGACTGACACACATTTTCTAAAACCCCTCCCCCTTACTGCCAATCACCAATCACACCACTTGCCTGTTTCAACCACTCTAGACTATCTCTCACCGCCATGCAACCAAACTTTTAAAGACACACACACACAGTTAAACATGAAATCATTACAGTTAGGAATGAGACTTGCAAGTTTTCTAGTTCCTTTTGAGTATCACCCTTTCAATGTTGCAATTTCTTTCTCAGAAACAAAACACTTTGTCTTTAGTTTTGTACTAGTTTACAATCTCCTTTCCCTTCCCCTTCCCAAAACAGACACCGTGTGAGGTAGGCGGGGCTGAGAGAACTCTGAGAGAACTGCTCGTGAGAGAACAGCTCTGAAAGAACTTATGATTGACCCAAGGTCACACCAGCAGCTGCATGTGGAGGAGTGGGGAATCAAACCCTGTTCTCCCAGATTAGTATCCATGCTCCTAACCACTACACCAAACTGGCTGTCTAAGGACCAAGCAGTAGGTAATGTGAATGACCTCAGCCTGAGATCCTAGACAGCCACTGGCAGTCTCAGTAGACAATACCACCCTTGATGGGTGAATGGTCTGATTCACCCTATGCCTAAGGGCACCCTTATTTCTTTCCCAGACATCTAGATACTGGAAAAGGTAGCGATAGGGGCACTTGCGTGTATCATTTCAGGTCAGGAAAATGGTGTGGGGGTGGGGTTTAAACACCCCCACCCCTCATGCCACAGTCCCAATTGGAATTGTACTCCAGTCACCTGATTTTGAAATAACTTCTGTCATGGAGCTCTCAGTGTCTCATATAGTTGAGTCCTGCCCAGCAGTAGATTTGCAACAAGAGCTAGGGCAGTATGCTGTTCCAAAGTCAAGTTACAGTGAACCACCTAAAATCTCAAGCCTACTTTTTTACCTGGAGTAAGAAGGTATTTGTACTATTACAGATTTGAAGGCATACATATAAATACCCTAGAATTCATCTTTGGCCAAAATGATGGTCGTGGGAAGTGCCACAAGTCACAGCTGACTTATGGAGACCCTGTGGGGGTTTCAAGGCAAGAGGCGAACAGAGGTGGTTTACCATTGCCTGCCTCTGTGTAATAACCCTGAAGTCTCCCATCCAAGTACTAATAATTAATAATTATATTATGGCATTGTATGTGGTATAGCCAGGAGATCCTTGCCTGGCAGCCTTAAATTCTAGCTCTTTAGTGTTACGCACCACTAGGTGGCAAGCTAGAGCAATTTTGGGGGGCTGAGAGAGCTCTGAAAGAGCTGTGATTGACCCAAGGTCACCCAGCCCGCTTCATGTAGAGGAGGAGTGCGGAATTGAACCTGGTTCTCCAGATTAGAGTCTGTCACTCTTAACCACTACACCACGCTGGGTCTCCATCCAAGTACTAACCAGGGCTGACCTTTCTTAGCTTCCAAGGGCGGGCTGCCCTGGTCAGGGCTTTACTAAGTGCACAGTCATTAATTTTTTGAAGGAATAAGAAATCCAGAACAGAAGGCTGACCGAGTTTTGTGTTACCACAGTTTTGCTTTTTAGCCTAAATTGCTGTTCTCTGCCCCAAAGCTTATCATAGTACCCACTGTTACAGCATCAACACATCTTCACTCCAGTGTTGAGGCATTAAAATCTCTGTCACTCATTGATTTATACCCCACCCTTCTACTTGAAAAGCACTCAGGGAAATTGTTGAGGAATTCTGGTGCCCAGGAAACTGCCTGAGACCCCCAGACCTCACCAGAGTTCCATGGACTGGATTGGTCTGGCTAGAGACTGAATCTTCAGAGACAGACAGACAGACAGACAGAGACACAGACAGAGACAGAGAGACAGAGAGACAGAGAGACAGAGAGACAGAGAGAGAGAGAGAGAGAGAGAGAGAGAGAGAGAGAGAGAGAGAGAGAGAGAGAGAGAGAGAGAGAGAGAGAGAGAGAGAGAGAGGTTGCTTCACACTAAAGCCATTTATTGAA